TCAAGGGCAGCTCCCCAAGTACTAATTAATACATGTGAGCAAGAAGAACAAGGATTAAATAGTGACTGTACTAGCAGGAAATCATTTCACGGGTCCATCTGTAATGAAAGAAAAAGTGTACCAACTTTTACCAACCTCATGCTCTCCAGATGTGTTTGCTCTATTAAGGACAAACCAATTGTCACTGAAAGCAAATTCTGCGCCATCACCAATATCCAAAGAAACAAACTATAGGCAGAGGCATCTATAGTTGACTCTGCCTTGGATGAGACAGTGAGCAGGCACTCCAACTGCACGTGTCCCTCCAGCTCCACCAAACACATAGCTTTTGGTGTGAACCAAGCAGTCCATACAGAGGCCCATACACAGCTACTGATCTGGTTAGACCAATGGTTTTCAACCAGTGTGCCGTGGCATCCTGGGGTGCCTTGAATGATGGTCAGGGGTGCCACAGGTAACACTGGCCTCTGTCCTTCTTTCCTTCCCTCCCTGTTCTGATGCCCTCTCACATCTCTGCCTCCCAAAGGTGTGCACAGCTGTTTGTTGCAGCAGTCGTGGCTACAAGCTCCCCCAGTGAATGTTGTTTTCATGGCTGGCCAGGAGCTGCTGGTTGCCAGGAGCTGAGGCAGCCTCGGAGTACTTTGGGATAGGAAAATAACTATCAGTTGAGGAAAGTTGCCCCAAGAGCTTCTGAATGGGACTAGCATTGAGGCACATGACAGCTACTTTGCAATGGTACCAAGGTGTACCTTTATAGCAGCAAGAAAATTACATAAAGAAACAATCATTTTAAAAACCTGAGGCACATTATTCTGCTAACAACACCCCATCACAGTATTCTGACACTCTCCAGGGGGGGTCTATGAAAGGTAACAAAAAGCAGAACATTCATATCTTAACATGTCCAATTTTGTAATTTGGAAAAAGAAAGCTTTCTGAAAAGCAGGGAAAGATAATCATTATCTCAGGAACAAACACAGCAGTTGTTTAGCATTAATTGGTTCAATACAAATGCAGCCAACAGAAGGGGAGTAAAGGGGGTAGGTTCTGGTGCCCTCCATCTAGTGCTCATAGATCATGGCTGCAATTATCCTCTTAAAGGGGTTTCATAAGCCAACTATCATTATTTCAAGTTAACTGAAATTTTCTCTTATGATTAATAAAGCGAAGTGGATATCAGCTTTGTGCTGCAAATCATCTACAAGAAACATCAATTCCATGCACCCTGTAGAGGTCTGCAAATTGAAGCCATTCAAAAAGTTAATAATATTGGCAATTGCCATCCTTATGCAGCATTTGGATGAAAGGCAAACTTTTGTCTTCTTGTTTCTTTCTTCTTTCTACTAATAGAAAGCACTCTTGTTCTTTGGCTTAAAAAAAAATCTAGGGAATATAACCATTATTGTAATTGGAGTGGAGCAGAAATGGGAAACCTGCAATCCCCCAGATGTTTTTGGAGTCCATCTCCCCACAGGCCCTGCTAGCATGTCCAGTGATCAGGGGTGATGGGAGATGCAGTCCAGAAACATATGGTGAACCATAGGCTCCCCACTCCTGGACTACTGCTAATGACTCCTGCTTACAGGATTCCCTGCTTACCCTGTCCTTAAATAAAAGGAAGAATTAAAGAGGTGCAGCTTTGCTTAACCTTGTAAGGAGAAGTGGACGCTTTCAGAGTTCTCCCTTCCTCAGAGCTATCAACAGTGCAGAAGCTTTCCTGCTCTCCTTTGCATCTAGTCAATGGCTTGTTTTGTATGTCACAAACCACAACTGAGCTAAATCCATGATTTAAAGGTGAATGAATATGCTGTCGCACAGTGCTACAACTGTAGGTGCTTTGCCCATCCCCTGCTCCTGCTGCATTGGGTGCTAAATTATGGTCTGGCTTAGTGTTTCATTCAAACCAGAGTTATGGTTTGTTCCTCTCCCAACATACCCTGAGCTATAACCAAGGTTTGCAACCATAGCAGCAGGAGAAGCGGGGGAGAAGTGAAGTGCCTATGATTTCAGCAGTGTGAGCCAGAAGGCTGCGCATTCACCTTTTAACTATGGTTTAATTATGTTTAAAGTAGCATGTGGAAAGGCTATATATCCATAATAAAGACCGGTACATAATTATGTATGGTATCTGACATTTATTTAAAAACACAATTTTTGTCTCATTAGATAGTCAAGTAACTAACTGAAATCCTTTTCATGCAGGTGACCACAGAATTTAAAAGTAAAACGAAACCTGTATTACTCTTAAGATTATTTATTATTTATTTATTTATTTATTTATTTATTTATTCCCCGCCTCAAGGCAGCTTACAGATAAAAACAAGAACTGCTAAAAACATGGGAAAATCAATACTCAAAATACTATTAAACATAGAATTAAAACTATATACACATATAAAATCTGTTTAAAACATACCAATAATTACAATATTGGAATAAGGAAGTATTCACAGTCAGCAGAAGGACAGCAAGGAGGGAGCCAGTCTAACTTCTCTAAGAAGGGAGTTGCAGTGATTCATGCTTACTAATAAGAGTTGGGCCCCTGTTGGAGACAGTATCTCTTTCTAAATAGATAGATAGATAGATAGATAGATAGATAGATAGATATTATTTTTCTAAAAACAACAACAACACAACACATGCTTTGTGATGCTGCATTGGATTAGATGCTAATGATGGTATATATATCCTGGGCTCTTTTGTGCAGGTGCAACAAGTCTTCCAATTTACATGGATTAAGCACCAACTGGCCAATGCCAGTTGAAGCACACAAGGGGTAGTAGAAATGGTAGAAATGGACTGCACTCTGATGAATGCAGATAAATTGCCCTGTGGTTTTAGGCATGGGGGCAGCTAGCAGTTAAAACTCCAAGTACTATGAAAAAGCCAAATGCAGAAATGGCATTGCAAAGGGAAACAGAGAAGAAATTTGACAGTGTGCCAGTTATATTACCCGACTATTATTTATCATTATCATCGTGAGACACACATAGTAAGAGGCCTACTCTATCCTACTTTGTAATCCATTTCACCTTTTTCACCCTTTCTGCTATGGGTAATCTATTCCTCTACTTAGCGTCCTATTTCAGAAGGTTTTCTATTTCATTTCCCCATGTCTGAAATGGGGAATAATAGACAATCGTAGGAGTTCCTAAAGTGACTGAATGGGAAGGTGCAGTTTTATTAAGTAGCCACTGGGATCTTTCATGAGATCTCAAATAAAGATGCTATACATTTCAGCAACTATTTGTGGGGATTTGCCAGCTGCAATTATACCTGCACCAACTATTCGCCTAATTAAACTGAAGGCTTTAGAAAGCATCAAAGAGTTCAAGCAGATCAAAAAACAAACCCTAATCACGCAAGGCGTTTGCAACTCTTTATTGAACACAGTAAGGTGGCCTTGGCTGAGGAGCTTCACTGACCTGGGATACGGCTCTGAATAGGAAAAGAAAATTATTTGCTGGGCCATCTTAGTCGTTCTCCTTCTGCACTAAAATAAGCAAGTTAGTGGTAATTGGTAGGCATAAAAACCCCGAGAGGCTCCGTGACTGAGAAAGAAATAAACAACGATAATCTATCAAATTTAACAGAAGGCACATTACCAGTGGAGAGAAGGAACCGTCTCACTACATGATGATTTGTATTTGTTCGATTTCCCTAATAAGTATCTCACTGCAAGCAGAGATTTGAAATATTCAGTAGTTACACCATACAGTGCTTGATTAATAAGAGGCTGTGCGTATATGAGTGCATTATATATCAAAGGTACCACATGCACTCGTACATTTTTCTGAAATAAAACTTAAGAGTCTCAGAGCCTCATGAGCACAGGAAATGATAATATTACAGCAGATGTAAATACATTAGTTATAGGATTCATCATAGCATCAAATTAAAGGTATTTCCATTACTAAATTAGGATCCGTAGTGGAGTTTTTATCTCAAAGGTTTTAAGAAACACATCCAACCAACTGCAGCCCACTTTACAGTTCTGAAATATGACAACTCATCTCAAAATTCATTGTCAGGTTCATGCCAGACAGTTAAACCATACGTCTTCCCTCAAATAATTCTGGGAACTGTAGTTTACCCCTCACCGAGTATAATTCCCAGAACCGTTAAGCAACAGTTCCTATGATTCTTTGGGAGAAGCTATGTGCTTTAGACACGTGGTATAGCTGTGACACTGAAGACCATAAGACACTTTCCCAAAATGGCCCTGCTAGAACTAAGGAAGGACAGATGAGTGCTATGAGTAAATGTACTGGAGAAATAATTTTCAGGGGGAAACTTGCATACATAACCATCAGCATGTTTGTGCAATTCAGTGCACTATGGAACTAGCATACATGGAACATAGCCAGCGAAACCTTCTGAAGTTATTAAAACTACCAAGCTTAAGCAAGAATTTGGGCTTAACCAGATTGTGGATTATGCTCTTCATTGTTTCTAAAAGGCAGCGTTAGAATTTCAACTGCTTGGTAGCATTGCCATAACATTCATTTAGGAATTCTGAAGTTCAGCATATTTCTACATAAAAGCTAAAGTCATTATACTAAATGTTCAGAACACCAATATGTTCTTCTCAGCTACAGAGTGGCTCATATTGGTGAAGAACAGGCTTGTTACCTGCAGTTTCTTATTTTTCTTTCAAACAAACAAAGGCTACACGCCGAAGAGAGCAACCCAGAGGCCACAGGTTGTATTGAGGAGCCCTCTCTAATGTCAGAGAGACAGTTCTGATGTTGGACCTACCTTTCCAAAACAGTTGGCTCCCCTGCAGTGCTGGCCCAATCAATATCGTGAGGGCCAAATTGGCAGAGAATTGAGACGCATTTCTGAGCATTTCTAAAACTCATCCTTTAAATGAGCAATGGACTTCTCAGAATGCACTCATGTCTAGTTTGGTGCAAAAGCACTGAAAAGTTATTACTCTTTCTGCTGCACTCTATGTATTTGCATGATTAGAGGCATGATTCAGATAAACATCTACTCACATGGAGCATAGAACATCACAAGAGCATGTTTCTTTTTCTTCAAAGATTCCCTGAAGTCTTCTCCTGCTAGATGGATTACACTTGTTTGCCTTTCTTCCCAAGTTGGTTCAGGTGGAGGCGGCGCCTGTGGACTGAAGATTGAATAATGTTTTAGCTTTTTTTTTTTTTTACTGGTAAGAATAGACGCAAAATGCCAAAGCCTTCTTTGGAAGAACTTTGTCAAACTAAACATTTTATTAAAAAAGTTACCTGTCTCATTTACTTAGAACTGATTCAGACATCATGATATACCATGGTTTATCAGGTTTGAAATGATTGACAAGAAGCCTTGGAATTTGCACTCTCCTTTCCTTTTCCCATGTTGGGTGCAAAGGAGAAGATCAGAAGCTTTGCCCTACATTTTCAATCATCATCAGTTTGTCGTTTTATCCAAACCCAATAAAAAATTAACTTCAAACTACCTATTATGATTCAATAAAGCATAGTTAAGATTAACCACAGCTTGATGGGTTCAGACATCGTGCTACCATTAGAACCTGATATCCGGAGTTTAACATGTTTCCTACTACACCAAGAGCAACTTAGTTTCTTGCAGCCACTGAATTGTAGCTCTGTGACAGATAAGACATCCTGTGGGAACCATGTCTAGTTGGAGAGTCTCTCACTATTCACCGTATTAGTATTTAAGGTATGTATAGCTGAAACGCTTTCATAAAGCCATAGTGAAGCTAAATTAATTAAACTTACTATAATGATCTTTCAAGAACCACAGATAATAAAAGTGCAAAATACTGTTAATTAAAACTCAGATGCTCAAAAAGTAGAGGGTATATGCCTCAAGGCACATGTTTCCCAATTATATAGTTTAAATTCCAGCACTGCCAACTAGTTTTCAAAATACTAAAAGGGGT